CATTAGCAACTCTAGTAATATATTTACTGAGAAAAATGCTGACGTGTTCAATACTTATTTTACCTGCTATATGTTAGACTAATGGTGGCTTTTGTTTAACTTTTGGTTCTTTTAGGTGAGTTCTTAAAGTTTGGTCACAGACACCGACTCCACTTGTTTCTTATTTTGGTTGCATTTTCTGTAGCCTGGCCCTTGCCTTCCTACGCAGCTCTGCTCAATTCTAGTTTCCCTTCACTGCTCCTTGAATGAAGCAAGGTGAAGGACAGGGTCTGGTTTTAACCAGGTCACATTTTCTGATACCTGAGGAGGTCTTGTCCTCCTTGGTCGACCAGCATGTTTTCCCTTTTACAACCTTCACATTCTGTTGGATTAGATTTTACACCCAGCTTACTGAGAACATCTTTTCAACATGCTGTGATGATTTAAACTTTTTAAAGTTATATAAACCTTTTTAAATAAATGTTTTATAAATGTTTGAGCCATGGTTCGTGTCAGTTCAGATCTGATGCAGGTATTTGTTTTACACAGAGGTGTATAGTAACGAAGTATAATTTCTTAAGTACTTCATTATAGTAATATTTTGAGGATTTGTAATTTTACCTAGTTTTTTTATTGTAACTTTAACTTTTGCTTTGTTACATTCAAAACCTAAATGATACTTTTACTTTATCTTAAAATTTAACACACATTATAAATTTAAATAGGACCAGACTTGTTTCTGCACTCTAAAAATTAAGTGTTGAATAGACTCAACCAAGTTAACTGATACCACTAAGCCTAGCTGAGTAAATGTAAATGTCTGGTTACAGAAAGTTTCCATCATTAAAGAAGGTTAGAATTTTGAAAAACCAATTTTGCGACATTTGTGATTTTTTTTAAAATATATACTGTAAAATGAAATAAGTGAAAGAACATCATGGATGTGTTTACAAAGGAAGCAAACATTGTGGTCTCAGGCTGCTGTGGTGTGGGACGGAACCAGAGAGAGCAGACTTCAGTGAAAAACCTGCTGCTGATGGAACCGGTCCCAGGGGCTACCTGGGTTTTCTGCAGCGTCACTTGTCACATGAGGTCGACTCTTTCATCAGATTATTTTAACAACTTTCAGATTCAGTGACGAACATTAAAGCATTCTCACTGATTTACGTTCAAAAACAAAAAACAAAAACTATTACAGCTTCTAACACAGCTTCCTGTTCCTTTACATAAACAGGAAGTGAAGTGACAGATGGAAATGTTTCCCGTAACGATCACCTGCAGATAAAACATGCTACGGTTCATGTGTGTTACCAAAACATCACAAAGCACCTGGGCAACTTTTAACATCKACAACTGATCACACTTTGATTCAAAATGGCTGCCAGTCAGCTGACCATCAAAACCCTGGAGGTGGCTGGAATCAGTCGCTTACACATTTACTTTGTTACGGTAATTTGAGGATTTGTAATTTTACAAACTATTTTTTATTGTAATTTTTATTTTGTTACATTCAAAACATAAAAACACTTTTACTTCCTTATTTAAAAATTTAACTCCTAGTTACACGTTACAAATTTAAACAAGACTGAACTCATGTAAGGAGTGTTGGAATTACTTTCAATTATTATGAGATGTTTTATGACTTACTTAAGTACATTTCTTATCAGTGAAATAATTTTTACCAGTCATGTTGTGTTAAGGCTTTTTTACTTTGTTTTTAAATACATCTGGTTTTACAGAAGCTGAATTTGAAATATGGTTCTTTTAGACTGATCCAAGACATTTTCTGAGTTTTAACAGTATCTTTAAAATGTATGCATTGATTTTTAAATCAAAAAGTTCTCATAAATCGAATAATGCAGCTGATCAGTGTTCAGTTTTAAAGAAATTACAGTAAAATCTGACGTGGTCGTAGCTTAGTCGTTGTCACATCTAGGGCTGCACCGATTAGTTGAAATAATCGATGACGTCGATTATGTAAAATTTGTCGACGCAGATTTTTTATTATCGATTCGCTGTTTTACATAACCACCGCGTGAATGTTCATGCAATTCCATTTCGGTACCTAAATGCATCATTGCGACCGTATTGGCATAA